TTTTTATCACGTGTCTTTCAGGATATGGAAACTGCAGTAGATTATTTAAATACTTTAAAATTAAATAAGCATTTATGTACGAATTATAATTTTTTATTTTAAATATTAAAATATTTAATTATCCATTTTAATATTACAAATTTCTTAAATGTTCTAATTATATAAGATGTACATTGAATGAGATATTAAAAAAACGCTTCAAATTTATATAATATTTGCACGTTTAGAAGCTTTCGCAAGATTTTCGAAATAATTTTACATATTAGATATATATATTTCATGTTTGTATCTAATTATGCGCTATTTTATTTCCTACTTTTCATTTTTGCTCTTGTATCTTTTATTCCTATGTATTTGAAAACAATTATAAAATTTTATTGTATTTTTTATGTATTAATGTTTCTATATTTTTATCGGCATATATAAAAAATTGCAGAGAACGACACTGCTTTATTCTTTTAAGCAATAAGGGAATTGCAGTAAATATGATGAATCTTTATTTTCGCTCTGCACGATATAAATTTAGAAAATTTATAAAAAATTTTAGGAAAAAATTAGAAGAACCGAAAATGCGCTTGTCAAATATTCGTGCGTAATATACGATGAATTGTGCAAAAGTTTGAAATACAATTTCTTATAAATATAAATTGGTTCTATATAGTTGGCAAAATCATATGCATTACCTTTCAAAAAAGGATATATGGTGGTGTTTGTAACAAATGCTTTATTACGAATTAAATCTGAATTTGCCGCGCATCAAGCTGTAATATTGAATCTCATTGAAATGCAATTAGTTCCGTCACAAGTAGTTTTCAATGGTATACTTTGGTTTGTCGGTGGCAAATTTTCAATGCTTTAAATTTTTATTTTGCTGATAAAAAATTCAAATTTTGAAGTATTTTCTTTTATAATTTATATTGAATATTTGTTTCATATTCACAATAATTGTTTATACTAGCTTTAAATTTATTTGGATTAATTTATTGTGATTTGCACTATTAATAAAAAGTATCTCTGTTTTGAAACTATTAAGAAATTTTTAATTTAATTTTTTTTTTAAATATAGGTTCTACGAGATTATAGTAATTACGAAATAAATTGGAAATATATAAATACTTAATGCGTGAATCTCAAGGAAATCCGAAAATATGTTTTAACAAAAGATTGCTAATTAAGCGTTAAATTATTAGCTGTAAATATTTATTTTATTATAAATTATAATGTCAGAGATTAATTTTCATGAGAAATTAAAAAAATGTGAATTGAATTTTAGCAAAAAACAAAATATTTGCGTAACAGTAGTAACGAATGAGCAATAATTACAAATGAAGTAACATGTAAATGGATCATATAAAAGGCAGGCGACAGGTTTTTGACGATGATGGAACTTTATTACTCTAGGCCAATGTCTTTAAGAGATGTGTTCGAAGCAGGTATTTAAGTACGTCAACAAAAAATTGATCTGTCGCTCTCTTCACGCATTTTCAGATTTTTTGCTCTCATCTGAAATTCATGGATCTTATCATATGCGTCAATTCATCACCTGATGTCTGACATTCTTTCTCGGGACCAGAGTAAAACGAATATAAAGTACTCATTAGTATTCGTTATTTCCTCATTGTCTATAACTGACAATAATGCATTTCTTTAAAGTTCATTGTAATATTGATGCATTTGATGAAAATAATATTTGTTATATAATTGTTACAAAACGTTTGATAACTGATACAAATCGTATCAGTTAATAACTCACATTAATCATTTTTCCGATCAATACACATTTCAACACTAGTCAACACATATTTTTATAATCTATATATTTTTTACGCATAAAAATCTTATCGCATTTAATTTTATGGCTCTGCTTGTGTTCTTTGCAATCGATCTCATGAGTATGACAAGGGAAGCAATTAGACGAATAATTAAATAGGAATGACTGGACTATCTAAAGAGAGAACCAATGTGCACGCCAAGGTCTGCACATTCACATACGTGTACGTGTGCAAAGAGCACTTTCTCGCGGCTTGTCTCAAACGAGAACAGGATCAACGCTCTGATACAAATCCGCTTTGATGACGTCAGTTTTCTAGTAGCTTAATTCATTCCGATTAAAAAAATCGCAAACTTTTTCTATTTGAATTTGATGAATCTCATATGTTTCGAATTTATTTCAAAAGCTATCTTTTCCAATTTATATATTGTACGGATATAGAAATGAAAACTTATTTTTTCAAACTCTTGTAAAATATATTTACAGCTTAGTAAAAATATAGCTTAGGGATAAATATGTATTTTTTGTTTCAAGATTTTCAGGTAATTTGTCAGAATATTCTCTGCATGTTCTTTTTTAATTGCTTGACACATTTTGCATGAATCTCCATATTCATGTAACTAACGATTATGCATTCGTCAAATTCACTCGTGTTATCTCGCAACAGAGAATTCCTTTGGTGTGACCATAAAGCGGCACGTTAGTATACCAGTTTTTGCAACCATCGTCGTTTGCGATACCGCAATTTCGCCCCTTATGTCGTGATGTGATAGCTTCCGTTTCGCGGGATATCTGGGCCAATGTAAAGACGAAGGAAAGACCATGTGTCGTCATTTCTATGCGCAAAATTTCTTATAACGAAAGATCATTACAGTTGGCCCATTCATTGACACAAATTCCGTTAGATCTCATTGGATTATTTTTGCTGTGTTTTTCGCGAAAACTGAGATATATTTTAAAATTCGCCATTGATTGATTGAGACGATTATATTTGCACGCGCGCATCTGCGTTGAATTGTATTATTTATTTATATAATTTAGTTTGTTTTCGTAGTTTTAAATAAAAAAATTGAAATTTTATATTACACACTAAATCCATTACATATTTTTGCAAATGTCAGAAACGGAAGAAATTTAGAGGCAAATTTTAAAAAGATATATTATCAAATTTTATCCTCTTGAACTATTAATATAAAGAAACGTTATACTAGTTTCTATTAATACTAGTTTTTAATATCAATAATAATTTATTTTCTAACATTGTTTTATACAATTTTAACATTTTATGAGATATTTTACGATATGATATTTTATAATAGGTAAATGATCCGTATGACCCGACATTACATTTTACGTACCGCGATGACTTTTCTGTGTCACATTTTTCAAATAAGTAGTGTTAAGCGTGATAAAAACGCCGCTTATTAAGCACAACTGCAGGAACAAATCGTGATTTTTCGCTTCTGGTTGATTGCCAACGAGGTAATGTGCACGCGTATGGTTCCTGTAGGGATAATGTCGCAAAGTACCCGATGTTAAAAGCAGCAATGTTAAAAATGTATCTCGATTTTGCCGCCGCTCGAGACAGCCATAATACCAGATAATACGTTTCGCGATCATTCTCGGTAATTACGTTCTCTTTTTTTCTTTCTCCTTTCTAAATTAAAGTCATTGTCATTACTTTATTCTAAAAGAATTCCGCCGATATATCTTACTTTTCGAAAATTACGTTAATGAATGACTGTATCTTTTTCTTCGATCTTACGTTATTTCTAGCTTTTGTCTTACTGAAGGTTTTACACACAGAAAAATATCAATCTACTGCTAAAATAAGTGATTACTCAATTTATTTTCTTTCTTTTAAGTAATGGTTATCTTTAACAAAGAATATTTTCTTGATAATAATCTTAATATATACTTATTACGAAACTTAAAAAACTCATTATTATATATTCAAAACAAGAATTTATTTTTTTTGAAGAATATTATGAGTCACATATAAAATTGATTGAAAGAATGAAGTTTTCATATAATAAGCAAATCAAATGTGTTTTAATTTAATAAAGTTGATTGAAGTATTGAATTTACTAGGATTCAGAATATAATTTGAATAAATTTAATGCTTCTGATGAACTTATGATAGATTTACGAATATATTATATGAATTTTTGAAATAAATAATTATTACTTGCATAGAGTAATTATTACTATTTCTCTGTGTGTACGTTTAAATTAAAGAAAACTTGACTCAATCAATTTTTTTTTATTTAAGAGTATCAATTGGTTCGATACGCAAATATACGGTTGATCAAATTTAATAATCGTTAATTAATATAGTAGCTAACAAAAATAAAACTGTTTACTTTAGAGGAAAGTCGCCGATACTGACATAGGTCTCCTAAAGAGTTTCTGAGAAATAAGGTGACCCCCTTATTTCTCAGAAACTAACTATTGTTATTAATAGCACTTTATTAATACTAATAAAATCATGATCTGTTTAGCTAATTAAAGAAGTACAAACTCATAATTCATATATTTGTTGCTTATTTCTATACCAAATCAGCTAAAAACCAATTCTATAAATCCGAGAAAAAAATTCTTACGGTGTTCTTTTGCAAATTGCGTAATTAAAATAATAGTGACTGTATTATTGATAATATTATGTCATTTTAAATGTTTATAGTTTCATAAATTAGTTTTCTTTACAGAATAGGATATATCTTTATTTATAAAAT